AGTGTTTGTTGACAGTCCGTTGCTTGGTGACATATATCCATATCATATGTGTGGTTGTTGACATGTCTGCTATATTTTGCTATGTATATATGGATCGACACTCCATTATAATTACCCATTCATGTTAAGACTGTCTATTGATTTGTTCACACACTTGTCTGGACATTCATATATATTTCGCTCTCACAATCTTGTGTGACTTTGGTGTGATACCACTTCTGCATTCTCCTTGTGTTTGGAAAATAGAAGTATCATCGCAAACCTAGTGGTCTTCTGATTTCCGTCTTTCTTGAGTCAGGACTATTAAATTCTCGACCAGTACATAACAATAATTTGGCGACGAGTACATAACAATTTAGCGACGGGGAAAACTACTATTAACCACTCAGCAGCAGCAACATAACACATACTACTTATAATCAGATGGCCGGACAGAAGAGATCAGCAACAGGGATCTCTGGGACCGAACCAACCAGGAACCGATTGTGAAACAAATAGGTAGGAAGAAATGGAGATTTATTGGCAGTACTGTGAAGAAACCACCAAGTGACATCACTCTACAATCCATCGCTCGAATGGAACCCCAAAGGGAAGCAGCGAGTTGGTCGTCAGTGAAAGGGTGACTTGGAGGAGGTCATTTGTAGGGGAGATGAAAGCATGTGGGTAGATGTGGAGCCAGGTGAAAACTCTAATGAGTGACACGAAGAAGACCGTGCAAGGAGGAGATGAAAGATTACGAGCAATCAAGGCCCTAGTTAAAAACAGAACGAAAGTGGAAATGTGTTGTTTTGGGCTTGTATGATCCATTCAGAACCCAGAGGGACAATTAGCACTTACAATTATTACACTAACGAAAACCAAAAGCCAAACAAAAAAACACAGGTGTTCTTCAATACTTCTAATTTTTATCATTGTTATAGGTTTCTTTACACACGTATTGCCCTTCCCCTGAAAAATTTACAAAATAATTTGACAATCCTTTTGTTTTGTTTTTTAAAAAAGAGACGATATCAAAGCTGTGTCAAATACACAGGATGAGAAAGAAATGAAGCTGATCAAGACTAAGTGACTGGCTGACTAACAAAGTCAATGTTTATACAGATTTATCTACAAAATCATTCCAGAGAAAAAACAAACAACAAAATAAAAACAACTCTCTTTTACACTCTTCAGAATATGGGTAGGAAACAGGTAGATAAACTGGAGGATGGAATGGGGGTGGAGGTTTCAGGAAGCGAATGAAAAGGCAAAAGTTACATAAACAAATTACCACGAGATGAGATAGAGGTGGGAGGGAGTACAGATGTATATAAATATATAGATAGATAGACCCTAATAATAAGTAAGATATGTACGATGACCACAAAGCACGCAAAATCATCATCTAAGCATTTTCTGAACCCAAGGGATGGTATGCCACTTTGCTACCACTGCTGCTGCCGCTAATACCAGTGGTACCTATCCGACTGCGTGAACAATAACCAGCGTATATGCCGTATAAGATGTGCTAGAAAGAGAATGAAAGATGCATTGAAAAATAATTAAAAAACATACATTAAGTAAAGATTTATTCGATAATTAATAATAAAAAATAATATAATTTTTCCTTCACATTCCCAGTGGAACATAGGGCTTCAAGCTAGTGGCTTGAAGTTTCTGTATCAGTGTCTATTTTTACAGGATGGGGTGGCTAGCCTCATGCCCAACCTTTCCTCTTTACCAGCATTATTTCTGGTTTGGCGAGGTAAAGGAGTTAGTCGGGGATCGAACCTCGGACCATGTTCATGGTCGGCGAGCGTCCTAACCGCTGTGTCGCCGACGCACCTTTCACACAGTGATACACCCATTGACTGGGTATTGATTTTCAGGAGAACCAAAACACACCCATCCCTGCCTCTTGCGAGACGAGACCGGCATGCAGGATCATCCTGCGGCGCAACCACTCCAGGGCCCTCATCCTAGGTGGACCAATTCGATAATTAGATCAATAATAATAATAATGACCAATATATGCTATCTTGATATATACTCATTGAGTTATGAAGAAAATATATGACACTTAACACGACACTCTACTCAAACTCATGCAAGTGTGTGTGTGTGTGTGTGTGCGCGTAAGAACTTATAGAAAGTTGTCATCTGAAGTAATGACAAACAATGGTATCTATCAGGGATGCTCACTGTCCCCCAATGCATCTTAGATATAGTAATGGAAATAATCCCAACCAACTTCAGTGACTCAACATCAACAACAAAATTCGGATCTTTAACACTTACTACTCCTTGTAATCTCATTATTTTCTATGTAAATCTTTTGCATTTTAGATGATATCATCTGGCGAAATTTGTCTTCTAAATACCTTATTTAACACTTCTAATTGCCATATAATGCAAAAGATTTACATAGAAAATAATGAGATTACAAGGAGTAGTAAGTGAACAAGTGCCACTGAGAACAATTCTTTACAGCCATGTCGCCAACAATCACCATCCATTACACCTAAGTGTCTGAAAGACCAGAGTCACACAGTCAGCACTTCAAAGTATTATGCTATTGGATTTATTTCTTTGTCTGGTTTATATTTTTCAAAACAAAAAGCAATTCTGGGAAGAAAATTTTCTTCATCAACGAACTGTCATCTTCAAATCCTGTACAATTATATATATATATATATATATATATATCAAAAACATGTAATAGCCTATTCTTGTCATCATAAACGAATAGGTATTGCCGAGTTTGGGTATATTTCTGCCTTCCTGTCGAAAGGCTCTCATGTGACCAAGATTTCAAAGCCTCTGTCAGGTAAGCTCTATTCATTGCTACTAAATAGTAAATATCCACGGATTAAGGACTGAATGAAATCATCAGATGTGACCAGTACCACAGATAATGTTCTCATATATGCCAGCTCCGATAGAGTGATATCAGTTTCGTCGACTAGAATGAAATCTACTTTTTTTCTCAATAGGTTTAGATCTACATCTCGATATTGGAAACAAGATAGTAAGCTGTTCACAGGCCTCAGACACAGGTATAACTCGAATTCGACTTGGCGACGACCAACTAGCACCCTGATCTGTTTCACTAATCATTCCAGATGCAATTAAAAGATATAGTATTCTACCACTTGGATCCGAAAACGACCCTATCATTGGTTACTATCGCACCTAGCCGAAAGAGAATGTCTGTGCTTGCCCATCTTCCGCATGAACTAAACAACGAAGGAGTTGTCGCAGATTCAGATGAACGACAGCCGACAGGAATAGACGACCAACAAACTGGTTGCAGCAAACCTTCCAATGAATGGTGTCGATGATGACAGCCCATTGGTAATTTCGTGCGTATTCAATGACTCGGATAAATGCATAGAACCTTGTTTAGGGACCTCGTCAAATATGTCTTGTGTGGTGTGGCCCAAAGAGTTTCCTTCACGGTTAATTTCATTGGGGAGTCTATCTGCGTCTTCATCCTTCACATTGTCTTTAACTTCACATGACTCTGACTTGACTCGTTTTTGGAAATTCTCCGGTATAATCTAGTCTGTGCTGAAATCTTTGGCCTTCGCTTCCTGTTCACTGTACCACTTGACAGGTCCACATTAATCCTTACGACTTTAGAATCGCAATGCGGTGAATCCCGTGGATCAACATGATTGCTGGATAGGAGCTTTCGGTATATCAAATGTTTCATCCCTGATGGACACTTGACATCTTCGTAAGCGATAAACTTCACACTCACGGAATCGGTTAGTGGGAACTCTTTGATTGAACACTAGTAACTAGTGTGTCTCTAATGTCTCTAGTCCTTTATTTGGTGGAGACTGAATCCTATCAGTCACGTTTGCAGTGTGACCACCATTCAAGGTAGCTTGACATCATGGTGCACATTGATTTGATGATATTAGATGGTTGGAGGCAGTCGGCAGGCAGGAAGCCTTGGACCTCCTAGCTTTCGTGCTAGTTGACACTCACTCACCAGTCAGCTAGGCATATCTGCCACCTTGAAGGAACTCATGTCCCTTCTGAGATTCGAACCCACGTCACTCAGTGAGCGCTGCAATCAGAGATGTTACTGCTAGGCTGTCCAGTACTCCTAGGCGGTTTTCCAATGGTCCTCTTACTTATGTCACAGTTCATGATGAAATCCTCCAACCTATCGAACAAAAAAATCCCTACAAAACCAATACTTGAAAATAATAATAATAGTAAACTTACATAATAAGAAGAAGCAAAATTATAATAAGAACGGTACTCCTTACACCTTACATAACGTAATACGTTTTTCGAGCACAAATTTGACCAGTATCTGATTGGTTGTCTTGTGATTTCTTTGTTAAATATAATTACAGTTGTACAGGTTATGAAGATGAATCGTCGAAAAGGAAACTTTCTTCACTGTTCACTTCTTCCTTTTCTTATCACTAAATGTTGTAATACTTCTTTGTTTCTTTCACGTTCCGCAGTGGAATATAGGACTTCAAGCTAGAGGCTTGAAGTTTCTGTATCAGTGTTTATTTTTTCACAGGATGGGGTTTCTAGCCTCATGCCCAACCTTTTTACTCTTTACCAGCATTATTTCTGGCTTAGCGAGGCAAAGGAGTTCGTCCCTGACCGGGGATCGAACCCCGGACCATGTGGATGGTCGGCGAGCGTTCTACCCGCTATTCCACCGACGCACTTATTTTATATTGATCCCTCTCTATATATATAATATGGTTAAGTATTACAATGTGTGCATCGGTGGAATAGCGGGTAGAACGCTCGCCGACCATCCACATGGTCCGGGGTTCGATCCCCGGCCACGGACGAACTCCTTTGCCTCGCTAAGCCAGAAATAATGCTGGTAAAGAGTAAAAAGGTTGGGCATGAGGCTAGAAACCCCATCCTGTGAAAAAATAAACACTGATACAGAAACTTCAAGCCTCTAGCTTGAAGCCCTATGTTCCACTGCGGAACGTGAATTAAAAAAATATGAAATAACCTTATATATGACTTACACAAAGCGGTTTCCATATACACAAAAGTAGAACAATTATAATAAAGCAAATTATCAGTACAGAACTTGTAGACACATGCGAAAAATCTGCAATGATAAGTAAGAATGACAAAAACAAAAAGAGGAAAAATCAATATTTGGACATAGATCAATAATGTTCATTTCATGATATGACAATATAAAATGCAAAGATCACAAATAAATTAACTGATCGATCTGTAATAATATACAAATATCTGAATGAAATTTTAATACAAGAGTCTACTTAACTAGCTTTTCGCTGGATGTCAGGTAAGAAATGGAGGCACACATCGGCCGGATTCGATTCCTGGCCAACACAATCCTAGAAACCTCATCTTACCACCGGTAATGAGAGAAGGTTGGGCATGAGACTAACAACTCTAGGCATTAAAACATACCATCAGCATGGCCATTTAAACTTCACAGCTGTAGTTTGAAGAAGCCCTACTCGGAATGCAAGAGGATGGAAGACTGTAGGCAGCACAAATAGTGTTTCAAGTCAGAATAAACCAGGGGAAAAAGAAACACGAATGCACTCACTGTGATCAATTCTCAGTCAAATCACCTAAAGTATCCAAAACAATCACGTAGATGTTAAGCCATCTACGATCTACATTTTTGCATACAGTTCAGTATAACAGTCGGTAGTGCCTTTATGGATTGGGTCAGTTGTGTCAGAGTGTAACAATAGAAGACAAGGTCCAGGCAACAGATCGTTTATTAAGGAAATCAACACATATTTATATATTTTCATGTACAATATTATAGCTTATTCAAGCAAACAAACACAGTCTTCTGATTGGTGGTTGTTTCTCACAGAAAGTTACCTTTGCATCTCTTTGTGGCTGTTTCTTGAGTGTCAGATCATCTATGTGCTAACTGTATCCGCCTACGCAACGCCTTTGTTCGAATTTTTCCCACGACCAATATTGGGGACATAAACATTGACGTAAATTACTGTCCATCAATTTTGACTAACAGCCAGCTCTCACCACATACTCACTCCTCATTATTATAAGTATTATTCACCCAACCCAATCATTCTGCCTTCAAGTATGTTCCCCTCCCCCAACCCACTTTTTTGCCTTTTGCCAATGTGTGGTAATTTGAAGTGGTGAGATTTTGCTCAAAACTCAAAATTTAGTAATTCAATCAGTCAAGAAAGTAGCAAGAAGTTGTTTGAACAGTTTTGCAAAGTCTTTTGCTCATTATTTTAACCACTTCTTTTATGAATGAATTGTTGATCCATCCAATCATCATAAAAGTTTCGCTAACACCTGCCAATCAACATGAATAATGCTCAGCTATTACCAATAATCACCAGTGTCTTTGTGACTACTCATTACTGCTCATTAAATTAGTAATTGTTACGAATACTTCGTTAACCATATTTTCACCTGCGGTGGTCTTTATAATTTGTTTTGAACTTAAGGGAAAAAGAGAGAGAGTATGGCTTTGTCTATTCATTAGTTGTCATTAGCTGCTATCGATATCTAATGTGATCTTTTATAACTATTTTCTTATGGATTATAAAAGCAAACAGCATTATTTGATAATGTATCGACAACAACTAATTGGAGATAATATCAGGCTTCCTTAGGACTAGTTTCATCACGTGACTGGAAGAACCAAAAGTTATCGCTGCTTCACGTCAGTCGTTCAGACATGTGATACACTTCCTAGGGTGTAACCCGTAGGAAACAGTATACCTCGGTTAAGCATCGCCACAGAGTAAACTGGAGTATACACCTCTTTTAGTTGATTCTTTTCTAATACTCCATATGAGTAGTAGGCATGACTTGCTAGATAAAAATCTTATCGACAATATGACTTCCTCCTGACTTGTACATATAGTATAGACAACTTATACAATGGCTGTGAACACCTCTAGCCTTATCTTGTCTTATTCAGAAGATCTTTCTGAAACGATACGGCACGACATCACAGGACAGTCATTCCAATCCGTATGGCTTATTAGGCTATTTATTACAATATACACGCTTAGTTTAAAAAGTGTAAAACATGAATATATATGACAACAGTAAAAAATTGATAACACAGTCAAATGACCTTGAATTGACTAATCAGATTGTCCCACATCTTAAGTGGCATTTATGGTGTAACCTCGCCAGATACTAGCTTACTAGTTTTCTCGCCGGTCCCAAGCCCGGGTAAAGAGGGAGGGTTGGGGCGTGGTGCTAGCAACTCCACCCCTGTAAAACAACCAAATCGCCACAGAAACTTCAACGAATAAATATATTAAAAATTCTAAAAACATAAGCAATAGCCTTACTTTTTGCTGGAATCGGGGAAGTGAAATGACACAGGCTGGTGAAAGCCTTCGGGAAGCCAGTCAGCCGATGTGCCTTCTTTCGATGAAAGCAAAAGTAAGGATGGGTACCTGGAATGTTCGTACAATGTACGAAACTGGAAAGGCTGCCCAGATAGCCGCTGAAATGACAAGGTACAGAATAGAAGTGTTGGGAATCTGCGAAAGCAGATGGAACGGAACTGGAAGGTGCCAACTACCTACTGGAGTAATCTTTTCCGGCCACCTAGAGGACAACCATGAGCACACCGAGGGAGTGGCCATCATGATGTCACCAACAGCAACCAAAGCTCTCATGCAGTGGGAACCAATCTCCTCCAGGATAATGACAGCCAGGTTCAACTCAAAAGGAAGGAAAGTTACAGTCATTCAATGCTATGCGCCTACAAACGTCTCAGAACAAGAGAAGAAGGAGGCGTTCTACAGACAACTATTTTTTTTTATTTTTGATTACAGCTTGATTCCACACCGTATTTTTGGTACAAGTGTGGAAATTTTCAGCATGGATATCGGTAGCCCAAATTTCGCAGGCCGACCATAGATATCAGGTGTGTGTCGGCGTGAGCTCGAACCCCGGACCATATGCATGGTCGGCGAGAGTCCTAACCACTGTGCCACCGACGCAATAATGGACAACGTCCCAAATGGCGATATCAAAATCCTGATGGGCGACATGAATGCGAAGCTGGGACAAGACAACACAGGAAGAGAACTCACCATGGGTCGTGAGGCCCTCGGCGAAATGAACGACGATGGTGAACTCTTCTCAGACTTCTGCGCCTTCAATGATTTGGTGATTGGCGGTAGTGTGTTCAAACACAAGGATATACACAAGACGACATGGATTTCACCAGATGGAAACACCAAGAATCAAATAGACTTCATCTCAATTTCAAGAAAGTGGAGACGGAGCCTACTGGACACAAGGTCAAGGAGAGGAGCAGATGTGGGTTCAGACCACTATCTAGTACAAGGGACTTTCAAGGTGAAGCTAAAAGCCTCGGGGATAGCTGGGGATAGACCACAATGCAAGCTCAACACTCAGAAACTGAAGGACACAACCACAAAAGACACTTTCGCTGCAACTGTCAGAGCAAAGCAGGAAACACTACGCGACATCACTGAAGAATCATGCGTGGAAGAACATTGGAAGTCTTTGAAGGTGATTCTCAACGAAACGTGTTCAACGGTTCTAGGAAGAAAGAAGAGACAAGACAAGGAATGGCTCTCAATGGACACTTAGAAATTAATAGAAGAGAGGAGAATGGTGAAAGAGAAAATGATTCAATGCCAGGACGGACAGGAGAAGGAGACGCTGAACTAAACTTACAAAGCACTGGACAAAGAAGTGAACAAGAGTGCTAGGAGGGACAAAAGACGATTCTATGACAACCTCGCCACTGAAGCTGAGAAGGCAGCAGGCAAAAGGGACCTGAGGACACGATATCAGATAACCAAATCTCTATCCGGGAAGAGACCAACACAAGCGAAACCTATAAAAGACAGCCAAGGGAACCCAATTACCAAGGAAGAAAAACAGATTAAACAATGGACGGAGCACTTCAAAGGACTCTTGAACCGACCATCACCTGCAACCCGTCCAGAAATACCAACGACAGCGCACACACAACGGGAAGTTCCACCTATAGGATCCATTAATTCAGAAGAACTTCATGTTGATAGTTGCGAATAACCTTTCCATTCGTCTGTGTGAATGCTAGTGCCTGGGATTAAACCATTAAAATTCCTGTTTGGAATGCGTTCTACTAACCCTTTTGAAGATTTGTGCCATACAGTCCCAGCATCCAAGGATTGTTTGCTCTTCTCCGCCGGTGATTCATTTTTCATCTAATAAAGTATCGTTTCGTCAATATGAACGACAACACCAACTCCTTCAAGTACACAAGTAATCCCCCTGTTCTTTTGTGAGGCAATATCCTGAAAGTGTTGATTTCATTTCACTGTTGACATCCTAGTATGCTCTGTTTCCGCAGCTGTTTCAGTATCCAACTGTGGCATATACACTAATATTTTAGTAAGGCAGAGCTTCGATTTCCAGAAAAAATCACCATAATGTACAACTTACTAACTCCTACAGACTTCCTGTGCTATGACAGCGATTCCATCTAGATGCACGACCTTCAATAACCTAGTAATACGTCTGAAGAGTCATTATGCGTCTAGATATGCATGTTTTATTCTTCCCTATCAACTCATTTTCCATACAGAATTCAAAAATCAAATTTGGGTTAGACTTGCAACGCAGTGACTGTGGATAGTATGCATGTGTAGTGAAATAAGATCTGATTGGCTGATTCAGGGTATCTATTATTATTCACTCTTGCCGAATACATGAGTGTCTTTACTCATTTGAGTGGCAGCTTGAGTACTTAAACCAGCTACTACTACAACACTGTTCAAGTAAACTCTTCCATGGGAGTAAACAGAAATGTTGTTGTCAATAAAGTGAAATAGACGGCTGTTAACGTCTAAGTATAATACCAATACATTAGAAACTCCTATTGTGGTCAAATTGTAGCCAAATTGATAGACAATAATTTACGTCAATGTTTATGTCCCAAATATTGTTCGTGACTGCGTAGGCAGATACACTTAACATATAGATGATCTGACATTCAAGAAACAGTCACAAAGAAATACAAGGTTAACTTTCAGTGGGAAACAACTATCAATCGGAAGACTGTGTTTTTCTGCTAGCAATAATCTATAATATTGTACATTAAAATCTATAAATACGTGTTGATTTCTTTAATAAACGATCTGTTGCCTGGCCCTTGTCTTCTGTTGTTACACTATTACTAGATGTTGCTAATTCATCAAAAAGTGAAATTCAACCACTGAAATGTAACGTCTACCATGTGAAGTGAAATTCAACATCAACATAAAGCTCTTAAAAAAACAAGTATACTAATAACATCTGCTGTTTATATATTTTTTTCCTTCACGTTCCCAGTGGAACATAGGGCTTCAAGCTAGAGGCTTGAAGTCTCTGTATCAGTGTTTATTTTTTCACAGGATGGGGTTTCTAGCCTCATGCCCAACCTTTTTACTCTTTACCAGCATTATTTCTGGCTTAGCGAGATAAAGGAGTTCGTCCGTGGCCACGGATCGAACCCCGGACCATGTGGATGGTCGGCGAGCGTCCTAAACGCTATTCCACCGACGCACCTGCTGTTCATATACTCAGCACCAATCATCTTTCATTAAAATTCAAACTCAAAAATAGAAAACAATCAGTGTAAAATTTATCCTGTCATAAAAATAAATAGCTTACATTGACGTTCCACAAATGAATCTTCAGAATCAAGCAGTCGGTTACGGTCTCCTCCTGTCTTTCGAGGTAACGGTTCTTTAAAAACATATCTATCATTGATCCTTTGATTATGGTGACTTTCTTTCGGCGAATCATCAATTTGTGGTACATCTATTGAGTCATTTATATCCACAGGATTTTCATTTAACTTTGTTGCTTTTAGCTCGTCTTGTTCTATATCATCATGGTGCAAAAAATCATCGTGTTCAGTTGTTACTGCTCTGGTTGATGTAGTAGACTGGACAGACTGTTTAGTAGAATGTATAGGCTGAACAGTTGACGAAGCATTTGAAGCAACTGGAGTAGGCGATGTTCTGATTTCAGACTAAGAGAAGTGAATTAAAAATTTAGACACTCAAAACTTTTATTTCCACTTACTTTTAAGGGTAGACCAGCAGTTAGTGATGGTGTTGAATTGTTATGTGTTTCAGATGAATTGAATTTAAGGGTTGTTAACTATTTAAAAAAAAAAATTAAATCTTCGTATATCTCATCTTATAAGCCACTTACTTGTACAGGGGCATTACTTACAGTTGTACTGCCTAAAGAACTGTTGATTAATGCCTTCGACTGAACTTGCTCAACGCCGTATACGCGGTCAATTAATAATATGCACGTGATTTTGAGTAGTAGCACACAGGAATTCACTACATGAAGAGAAACACAAGAGGAAAGTAGCCTGTTCATACATACAAACATACAAATGCTCCATTGATACACGGATGCAAAGTATAACACAAGGAAAACCTGGGAGTACTGGACAGCCAACTGTTTCGTAGTAGTTTCGAACATTGGCTAGGGGTCGCGCTATGTCGTGCGTGAATTGGCAGAAGTTAGAATTCATAGGATGGCCATTGGATCGGGCCCCAGTGGCTTAGTGGTCTACGAGCTCGCTAGCCTTGTCACCAGAAGGTCATGGGTTCGAACCCCTGTGGTGGATGCGTACTAATGAAGAGTTCCAAGCTAGGACGAAACAGTTGGCTGTCCAGTACTCCAGCTCTGATTTTCCAATGGTTCTCTAACCAATTTCAGCTCATGATGAAATCCTGTAACCAATCAAATCCCTACAAACCAACACTTAAATAACACAAGGAAACTTTACACAACACTTATTACTAACTGAATTGAACATTCAAAATAGAATTATACACAAAAGGTGTAACAGTTGAAATTGACAAGCCTCATAAAACTACACATGATGGTTGAGAGAAAAATAAATGCAAAGAAGCTAAAATTAATGGAAAACCACAGGAGAGAGAATAATTACACGGAGAATAGTCAGTATTCATCAATGATTCTAGGAGATTATAAAGGACTGAATGCATCTCTGAGCCACTAAGAAGAATGATTTTAGGTCACGTCAGCGAAATTCTGCAGCTATTTCTTCTTATCGCCTTAAGGACTCCGGCTAGATAGTCATTACCTCTATACATGTCTATATGTTGGATTGATGTTACGTTTTTATTTGACCACCTAGTCCTACGTCACTTGACATTGTTCGACGAGGAATGCAACGGCTTTTCATGGGCAACATGAGTTCCAGTCATCTGAAGGGATGCAGCTTCACTTCCCTCCTTACCTAAAACTAAGCCCAACCCCACAATGTTACTCACCACAAAACATCCAACAGGGAAAAATGAACACAAACACCTGTAGTTCCAACGACCATGTCTCATGGCCATAAAAAAAGGCCTAGAGAACGGCTTCTCAGTACACATGTTCTTCGATCATCAGCCTTATCAAGTCTACACCAGAAATGACGTAAAATGTCAAGTACCATACGACAGCTGAGATTTTGTTATCAATCCTCTCCATTAGGGTACATACAATTCTCCTGATAAGTGAGGCGGTCAGCACTCTTAACCGTTTCACTTGCTATCCTTAAACTGAAAAGCAGTGTAGACTAATCCTGCAGCATCAGCTTACATTTGATAAGGGGGAATTACATGCCGAACACACTCAATTTTCCACTTAAGGTGTTTACAAGACTGTATTTTGTCAGCGTCTTTACCTAGGAGGACTATACCATCTGCATACTGTAAACTAACGAGAAATTTATATCGTAAAGCAAACAAAGAATCAACCGGATACTACCTCATAGTTTGTCATTTTAAATAAACGCAGCAACAACTCCCCCCTCCCGAGTATTTTGAATATGATGCTACTTAGATGTGCAAATTCTAATTCAGTTGTGACAAGGCACACGTTCTTAACTGCCACTTTAACATGATGTTAAATAATAAAAAATATGGAATAGTAAGAAATAGCTGGTTATTCTTTTACAGTTATAAGGGAACTTCTTCATGAATGAGGAACTTATCAAAGGAAATATCAGGTTAGTGATTTGGTCCACAATCGATTATAATGAGACCAATGCATTTGAGCTTTATTTTCTTCGAAACCATGACGTTATTCAGCAGTTATATAGAATAAGGTAAACGCAATTTTTCCAACAAAAAAATTTATCGAACAGATGAAAGTAACAAACACTTGTTTCTAAAAGAAAACACCAGATTAACATTACTGACAAAATGACCATTTTTGATTGGACACTAGTAACAAGTGTGATGTGTCTTGTCCTTTCTTTGGTGCAGACTAAATTTTATCAGTCAGGTTTGCAATGAAGCCAGCATGCTAAGTTGCTTCCTGCCGATTGCATCCAACCATTTAATATCATCATATGAATGTGTACAGTGATGGCGAGCGACCTAGAATGGTGGCCATATTGCGAACCTGACTGATAGAAAAGACTAGACACATTACACTAGTTACTAGTGTCCAAACAAAGTACCAACTACAGTTCTACAGGGAGGAGGCCAATCGCGAGCCCGAATAGTTCAGTGGTAACGTCTTTGGCTGCAGCACTGAGTAACGCAGGTTCGAATCTGAGAAGAGATATGAGTTCTTTCGAGGTTGCAGACACGCCCTGATGATGAGTGCTAGCTAGCACGAAACCTGGGTAGAAGAATGACTATGTTATTGGCGTGGTGAAAATAGAAAATAAAATTCGAATAGGACTGGTCCTTACAAAAAAGGTATTTAAACTCCGAGAAATGAAGGTAGGATATCAGTAAATTCTATTTCGCCTATAATGTTATTTAAACTTTTCTCTAAATATTGATAATAGTGAATTTTACTGTCCTTATCAGTAATATAAGTGATACTTTATGACTTGAGCAATATACTATCCAATGACTGTATGGATGATAATGCTAATTCAGGGATGGGGGTACGTCACTGAGTATCAATTTGTGTAGCCGCATCACGTTTCTAAAGAATCCTAACTGTCACAAAACCAATCAGAATATGCAGTTATTCTCTCCACTATTTCACAATATATACTCCGAAGTAAGGCGCAAATATGCAGTGATACAGTTATCTTCCGCTATATCAATGAAATATTATGAACCTAGATTAAATCATTGTCAAAATGATATCTAATTACATTCTGATATTACACCAATAAACTCATTTCTAGTCAGTTAATTATAACGAACCTAATTATGAAATTAGGAATTAGCGTCATTTTCAGATGAATATATAAGAGGGTGGTTGCAAGTTGCACACACAAGAAACATTCATTTATCCACTAAGGATACTTGGTGAACTGATTAAGAGGTTAAGCTAAACTATAGTAACCGCCATCGACAACTCGACTGTAGAACTGTTAAAAGCACTTTTAGGCAATCCATCACATCACCTGATTTCTTGGTTGTCTGGATATTGGGTTACACATATTATGCTTAACATAGAAACTTTAGTACAGTACTAATAAGGAGGAATAAGGCTGACTGTGTGAAAATACAGTTCTTTTGGAGGAAATTTACTAGGCTTACTGTTATCTTACCAAGATCGCTTGTTCATGATCACTGAAAAGGTGCTTGGTAGTGGCTGTTATAGTTTAACTTCACTCTGATTAAATACTTTCAGTTAATGCAGCATCAAAATGCCAACGATATACACATAAACCCCGTTCCCTTTATTAGTTTGAAGACAGAAGAAACGAATATGCTTGCAGGATTATACGAGCTCGTCATGTTTCGTGGATACTCATCAATTGCATACATCCTAAACAAAATCAAATTATAAGTTTCAAAAAAGTTTTGGAACATACTTTTTCATAATTATTTGGAGTTATAGATAGAAGGTATAAGAAGAAACATAATTCCAGAATTTGACGTCGGTAGACAGATTATTCAGAGTCAAAAAACAATTAATTATATGAACGAAATATTCCCATGTTGAGTCATAAAAAAAAGGCACAAACAGCGAAGAAAATTTTCTTTTCGACGATTCATTTTCATGAGCTGTACAATCGTGATTATAATTAAACACAGAAGTTTTTCAACCAATCAGACACTGGTAAACTTTGTCCTTGAAAATTCTACTACATAATGTGAGGTGTAAGAAGGGATGACTAATTGTAAGTTGGAAAGGAGACAGAAGTTGACATGACCCAATAATAATATGTGAGATAATGACTAATCAATAACCTAGTGTAGAATGGACAAGAACTAGTGGAAAGGCTATAAAGTATTTTTGTATAAGATCTGTGTGAAAAGCAATATTAATAATAAACAGTAATAGAGTGGCAATAAAATGTGGCTGGTGGGAATGGTAATAATAATAAAAGTATTAAGTTAATAAAGTGGTAAGAGGTGAGAAAAATAGACTTAGGTCAAGTTAAAAGGACATATTCAAAGTCAAAATAACAATGAAGTATTAAGAACAGTAATAATAATGAAAATAATAAAAGTGAACTTACATATTAAAATAGAGGAGAAAAATTATAGTAGCTTATTGTTTAGTCATCATCTCACACTTACTAAATCATGCCAACTTCTATCCCTTTCTAACTTACAATAATTCATCCCTTCCTACACCTCACATTATCTAGTAGAATTTTCAAGGACAAAGTTTACCAGTGTCTGATTGGTTGAAAGACTTCTGCGTTTAATTACAATTCAGCTTATCGGCTTCACGAAAGTGAGTCGTCGAAAACAGAATTTTTTCCCTGTTTGTGCCTTTTTCTTATAAATAATTATACATGGTGCAATTACATAAGAGGGGTTAGAGTTCAGATTTCTATTGGAAAACACAGATTGTTTAGAGACATATTACAGGGTCAGGGTCAGAGAACACAGTGAACTCACACATCTCGTGGTGGACAGACAATTAAGTAGATTTAGAAACTTGAAGGTCAAAATTGAATAGAATGTTTCGTAACAAGACAAACACACAGGTATACTGACAAAACAGCAAAACAAAAATAAAAAATCAAATAGAATTAGGGCTACCAGGGTAGTGAAAGATTAGTCACACTATCTTTCTGGATACAGAGGTTTGGTCGAAGTCTCTTGATACCAATGGCTTCTGTGAAATGAAGTAGCCATGGGTTTCTTTGTGTATTGATTATTTTGAAGGCTTGGCTAATTTCTACTGTGTCCTGTGTCAATTAAATGTCTGGCGATTGCACTCGATAACAATTTTCTTCCTTTTGTACGGAGACTTAGGAATGTGCTTGGAAAATCTAGTAGATGCTCTCCTCTCAGTCCTTCCTATGTACTTGCTTCCACAAGTGCAAGTGAATTGGTAAATGCAGTTGGAGTTGACGTGAGTAGGGTACTCATCTACTTTTGACTGGGTTAACGAGCACACAGTGTTGTGAAATAGGATCAGTCTGGTGGCTGGAAATGTTCTTTTTAATGCAGC